GGTTGGTGGCATTCTGCCCTCTCAATATCCCTAGCTTTGTCCAGACCAATTCCTAGAAGCCCTCTCCACACATTTGTGTCGTCCTTGCAACATTTTATAAACTGACCAGGCAGGGAAGCTACTGAAACTCCACCCATCCAGAACCAGACTTCCAGCAGCAACACCAGCTCACCCTGAATGTTTCATGATCCAGGCAGAGACAAGGAAGTATGGACCCCTGCCTAACGCCACGCACCCACTCAAAATGGAGGCCCATATATGAGGTACCGCCCACTAGACACCCAACACCTCCCATGACAGAGCCATGCAAAGACCAAGGAGTCTGAGATTTCCAGACCGTGTAGGTGACACAGGGGCTGAGAACTTGGGCTTTGTGTTCAAATCCCAGCTGTGCCATGTCCTAGCTCAGCAAGTCTCCTAATTTCTATGAGCCTTGGTTTTGCCTGTTCTATAAAATGGGGATGGAACTGTCCACTTCATAGAGCCATTGAGACAATTGAGTAAAAAGGTCACATGGGAAGCACTTAGCTTAGGGCTTGGACAACAAACTCAAAACAAACAGTAAACAACAACAACAAAACTGTAAACAGAAAGTTTGATATTCTGACTCTACCTTGTGCTCCTTCCTCCATACACCGGAAGACTGGGTTTTAGGCTAGGGTTCCAGCAGAGCGCCCGGCTAGCTCTTCCTCTGGCTTCCAGCTGAAGCAGCTCTTGCTGCCACTGCACCTGGGATGTCCGTCTCCCACCCCACCCCTGCTGCCATCAGATTGTCCCAGATAAAGTCCCCAAAGAGGGACTTTATTATGAGCAAATGAATGGCCAATTACCATTTTACTTTAGGACGGAATTTTAAAAAATGATTCCTGCCCTTACCATCTCTATGGTTTCTAGTTATTTATCTTGGTACCTTTCTCCTATGGCAGAGATGCACAGAAACATACACACACATACACACACACTTTGAGACACTTTCTAATTCCCTGAGCATAACTCAAATATTCCCCGGCTTTGGAAGCATAAGCCCAGATTTATCAAAGGCTGCTCCTGCTAACCGATTGCCAGGCTAGATTCAGAAACCCCAGTCTTGTGCTCTTAGGAGAGGGTCTGCTCAGGCTCCCCTGGGTGGGCTGCATGGCAGAGCCTGCCTTGGTTGCTTTGTCCTGGGCCCGACAGGCTTGCACATACACTTTCCAGCCTGCCCCGCGATGCCAGGGAGCTGACTCTTGCTTTTCAGCCACACCCTGGAATGGGGCTGTCTGCTAGGACAAGGAGGCAGTCCTGCCGGGACCCCTGCTGTCCGCAAGGGGATTCTTGCAGTGCTGCATCCTTGGGAGGAAGTGACAAGACAGATTATTCCACAGTTCTTACCTGGAGCACCTGTCCTTTCCCTGAGCAGCATACCCCTGGGGCACCTGTGTGTTCCACAGAGCGTTCAAGCTAATCACTGCGCAGGCCTTCAGTCATTTCAGACCCCTCCTACTTAAACGCGCTCCAAGAGGGCAGAGAATCGAGATTCTGAGTATTTCACAACACAGGAAAGGGTATTTATTTTGCCATCATCAACAATGTGGCAAGATTGGGGGATTCAGCGATCAGCTAGGCTTGGGGAGCTTGGAAGGGGAGGAAGAGAGAAAAAAGTCCCAGCTTCCAAGGGCTCACACGTCATTTGAGATTAAACCCACATTTGTGGAATCAGAAAACACTCCAAACCGTGAATCAAGCCATGTGTGATATAGGACATCTTGTCCCACAAAGTGATGGGAGAATGAGCACAGAGGTCAAGTTTGATCTTTTGCAGAAGTCTCGCCATGATAACAGGGTTGCCTGCCACTCACTGAGCATCTACCTGGCAGGTGCTGAGCCCTTTCATGGATGGTCCCATCATTCTTCAACAACCCTACGAAATAGACACTTAATGGTCTCATTTTACAGATGAGAAACTGATGCTCGGAGAGATTACACAACAGAATTTAACGAGTGGCAGCGCTAGGACTTGAGCTCAGTATGTCTGACTGAACAGCCCTATTCTTACCCACGTGGGTACACTGCCTCTTGGCACAAAGAAGAATTTTTATCTGAACTTTGCAAGAGAAAAGACTGGTTGGAAAAAAAAAAAAACAAAAAACAAAAACAACCAGAGGCTGTTCTGAGGAAGACTGCAGAGAGGAGGAATCAGCATTCATAAAGGCTCAAGAGCTCTGAGTAGCCAGAGGTGAGCAAAAAGTTTGAAAAAACCGATGTCCAGCCTTCCAGGGACTCACAGAGGAAGATGAATGGGAAATGAGTCTCCTGAATGGGAAATGAGTCTCCTGGGTGGGCACAGGGTTCGGTGTGTGGGAGAAAGGGAGAAAGGGGCTGGAGGTTAATCAACAAGAGCCCCCCGCCCCTGCCCTTTAGCTGGATATTTGGTTATTTGTGAAGATTTCAGATAACAAATGGAACCAGGCCCACATAAACCAAGACCATTGAGCTTGGTTCTGAAGGCAGGGCAGCACAGAACCCCTGCATCAAGAAGGCCATTGACTTTGACAAAGAAACATGGACCAGGCAAGACATGAAAGTGAGGAGTTAGTGAGTGACACCCTGCCCCCCTCCGCCCCTGCCACAGCCACCAAAGCTCCAGAGAGCAATGTGGATGCACACGCAGGAGAAACGCTCCAGCTTGTACCTTATAATTCAGATTTAATCCACCTGAACAGTCGAGGACTGTGTTGTCTGAGATCGGAGAAATTTAGAGCTAGAAGGAATTTCAAGTAGCGCTGACTCACCGTCTCCCCTCCCCCTCCCGCCCCCACCACCACTGCCAACTGTCCCAGCTACCCCACCCCACCCCCAGCCGCATCAGGATGTCACTGGACTCGGTCCAGATGGGCTCCAGTTCAGAACCTCTAAGGAAGCGAGCTTCACAGGACCTCCTCTGGTCGTGGATTCCGACGTTAACCTCATGTATGACAAGAAGGCTCTTTCAAATGCTGAGATTCAAACTATTTTTCTCTTTTTCTGCTCCGCGGGACCTAGAGAACAGCTTTCACCTTAAATCTGTAGGTTTAACATGCTTTTATAAGATATATACCAATTGTTAAAAGTGGTTATCTCTGCAACATGAGGTGGTGGAAGAATTCCTTTTTTTTTTTACATTGTTGCATTTCTTTTAAAACCCTGATATATTACTTCTGCCCTCTCCTGCAATAAAAGACATGGTATTTTAAAAGCTCCTCACGGAGCATGATTTAATTGCCTCTTGTCTCCAGGCTAACTCCTTGTAGTTTTATCCAGAAGTTGACAACCGAGTCCTCGGCGGGGCAGGCGGGTGACATAAAAGACTGAGACGGAGACATGGAAGGCAGTGCGGGTGACCGAGGCAAACTGCAGAGAGCGTGCCTGGCCGAAAGGCATCCACAACCCAAACTGGGCTGTGGGCCACCAGCTTGCAACCTCTCCACGAGCACGTTCCTCATCCTGTGTAGCCTGGTTTTTCAAGCTTTCCAAATTGGTATGTAGAGCCCCAAACAGAACATCTTTGGTTTTGGTCATCCAAAGACATACTATTATCTGTTGTGTCAACAGCAATCTTGGTCTCACGCCAAATACTCGCCAGCACACAGGATTTACACGCCCAGAAACCGATCAGTCTCCAAGTCCTACGAGACGCCTCAGGGGCCCAGCAAAGATCCCAGGAAAATGTGACTCGCCGACTTTACTCTGCACTGGCTCAGGTGCCATGGCAACGGGGCGCCCCATCCTGAGCAGCTGCCACAGCAGACTGCCCCTGTCATGCGGAGCCTCTTCTGGCCAAACAGGCCACCTCACCAAGCAGGCTTGCTTTTGTCCAACTGGCTTGAAGTCACACGGGTAACTATTTACATGAGTCAAAATCCACCCAGAGGCAGCAGATGGCCGGGCCGGGCTGAGACGTGGGGAGAAACTGGGCTGGTTGGGCTGAGTCAGAGGCAGGGGCTGCAGACAGCTCCCCAGTGGGCACTGCCAAGTCAAAACATCACTCCCACCACTGTGTGGTTTTTCGCCCCGCTGGGAGGCTGAGAAAAGATAAGGCGTGAACACAGCTGAAATGATCACAGGCTTTTGATCCCTAGACCCTGAGATAAAATGGCATTGGACAGGCCCATCCCACTCCTATGGGGTAAGTGAGGAGAGGCCTCCAGGCTCGGGTACCTGCCAGCAGCCCTGGCCACCCTCCTGAGATCTTGTCACCGTCAGTGGTGAGCAATGCCAGGCAGAGCCACACGGGGCCAAGACAAACAGCTCCAAAGCACTGTTTCAAACCTCAGCCAAGGTGAGTGGAATGACCAGGGGCTCTTGCGTTTCCGTCTTCCCCCCTTCCCCCCCTTCCCCCGGGGCTTGGCACACAGCCAGCAACCAGAGGCATTTGTTGGGACAAATTGAAAGTGTGTGTGACACAAATCCAACAAAGTGACCTTTGCCTGTGACTGGGTTTGGGGCGTGTTTATTTTTTTAAGGCAGGATGTCGGCTGTAGAACATTTTGTGAGCCATCCTGAGCCCTGACAGCACCGGTGAAAATCCTGACGTCATTAGTCCAGGCAGACAAATGGGTGTTTCACTTCCTGCTTTGGAATTCTTTCAGTCATAAGACCGTCGGTGTCCCCCAGGCCCATGCCAAAGTGGGAACGTGAATGACACTCATGCATGCCCATGTGGACAGCAGCTCTTGTGTGCCAAATGGAGAGGATTTGGACCTGGAGTGTTTTCTTCTTCCTCCTTTTCTCTAGCTTTCCACTCACCAGGGAGGTTGTGGACGGTGCCAATCTGTGGTGATGAATGTCATTGATGGGCAGGTCTTGAACATCCACATCAGCATCAGCACCAATAATCTGGAGGTCAAACTGGGCCAAAGGCCAAGGAGTCAGGAGGCACACAGGCTCCCAGGCTCCCAAACGTGCTTGGACATTAGCACTGGGCACTAGAGATTTCTAGAGAATCGTTAGAAGGTATGGGACAGAAGAGTCACACAAATGGATTATCAGAAAGAATACATTTTCTGTCTCCACGTTTATTGGGAACCTCAAAGAAAACGAACAGAGATTGTCAGACCCACCAAAACAATTCCTGATGCAGAGTCACGACATGCTTGGGAATTCTGGATGGTGAAGGAGTGGACTGAGGCTCAGCAAGTTAGCCCATAGTCAAAGGCATCAGGGTTGTTCTGAAAATAAAGATTCAAGAAGCCCAAGAAAATGTTCTTATCTATGAGAAGAGCACACACTGTGGGGTCCTGCTTCATGGCCGCTGTCCAGAGCCGAAGTGCTGGTGTGTGGTTCAAACAGCTGCAGGACAGGAAAGAATCGTCAGCTCATCTGAAAGGGAGGCCATCGGGAAACGTGGTATGCATTGCTTTTTAGAGTTACAAGACACAAAAGGTTGGTTTATTTGGGCCGTAAAGTTATCTTAGTTACCTTATTATCAACTGATCGTGATCATATACAGGAGGAAAATCTTATTTTGGGAACAGTCGTGTGTGTTTTGAATTACAGAAGTTGTTGTTGCTTTTAACAACACCGTTAAACAACACCATTAAAATACCTGTGGACTGCCTGCTCTGGGGAAATAAAGTGTGTGTGCTTCACTGTTTACCCACAAAAAGACAACCCCCTGTCATTCTTAGATTTTTACTCTAGGGAGTTTGAAAAAAGTAAAGACAAGTAGTTCCCAAAAACACTTTTTAAAAATCAGCAAAACCATCATCAAACATTGAAATAATGGAGCTGACCGAGCCCCTTCAAAGATAGATCGAGAAATGGAGGTCTAGGATATACAAGTGACTTGCTCAAGATGGTACAACTGGTTAGTGGGAAATCTGGGAGGGGAGGGTTCCCAGGCCATGGTTCATTGCTCCATCCCCAGATGAGACAGGTTTTGGTCATGTTTATGTTGAGACATAGTTTAAAATATCTAAATATGTTCTATCGGACCTTCCTTCAGAGACAGCCAAAGTAGGAGATGCAGGAGAGCACTGCTGGGTGGGTTTGGGCCCACACATTGTGAGGGTATAGATGTAGTTCTGTCTCGGCAGGAGCCGGTTCCCCAGTGCCAGAATTGTCTGGCACCCACCTTGTGACTGGCTGGGAGGAGAGCAGGTGCCCACATAAGTTCAACATCTCTGAGCATCATGGGAACACTACACGGTCTCCCCGAGTCCACCGGGGAATTTCTTCTACTTTAAACATCCTACATTTCCACGGTGAATGGCTGGCCATTCTGTTTGTTACCCAAATCAACCCCATAGCCAAAGGTCTTACTCGGCGATTCCATATACATCCAGCCGCTCAAACCAGGGCCAAAAGAGGTAATCAATCATGGAAATACAGTCTCCACCAAAGAAGATGGTGTTCTGATAGCCAAGAATCTAAAAGTTTAAACAGAACAAAAGCAAGTTAATTTACTTACCTGCTGGCATATTTAGAGATGCTAAATACCAATATCAAATTGATTCCCAAAGAGGGGGAACCAAGGCTCTGATTCTCCTTCCAATTTGTTACACAATGTGTCTGCCCTTTTCCTGAGGTTTCTTCCATTTCCTTTAGGGCCAAACTCCCAGCCACACTCAGCCCTACCCCCTTTCAACACTGGAGCAACGGAGTGGCTCATCTGACTAGGGAATCTGGAGGAAAACCCAGGGAACGGCTCATCTGACTAGGGAATCTGGAGGAAAACCCAGGCAGGAGGAGCTCAGTCCCTGGAGACAGGGGCCCTGCCCCACACCAGCCCATGACTGAGAGGGAGGGGACCTCATTAGCAACCCTGCTTGCTGCAGATCCCCATTCTCCAGGACCCACTTTATCCATAATTAAGGGGATACCATGGTCTCCATATGTCTTCCTCTTTAGACTTATTTCTCGATTCAAAACTAATGCAGTAAAGAGCAAATGCTATTTAGTGGATTCCCTCAAATCTCAACACTGTCTTTATGTCATATTTTCTTTTTTTATTTGAGCTCTTCGAACTTGTCGACATTTTTTGGCCACTCAACACTATCAACTTTTTACATTAAAATAGAATTTCTCATTTCCAAATGGAACAGATTTATCCAGATAGACAGACTGTAAAGCAAACAGATAAACTCTCAACAGATAGCCAAAATACAGTAAAAAAAAAAAAAAGGTAGTTGAAAATTTTCAAAGCTAGGAGAGGTTATTGTTGAGCCAGGTCTTTTCCAAAGAGAAAAGTATAGTGCCAATTACCTAATTAAATCAAGCAAACAACTCTTTGACCCATATAACTCATAATCAACTACATACTTTCCTACAGCTATAGAGCCAGATTCCTATAACCTTTATCTGGATTTCTGTATTCCTCTCCCTATCATCAGTCTTGATTGTTCATACTCCAGCTTATGAACTCTCTGATGTAGTCTACAGTTGTGGTTAAGAACGTCAGCTCAGGAGGAGGCAAACCTGGTCCTATGCTAGGCTCCACTTCCTATTCAATATAGAATCCCAGGTAACTTACCTACCTACCTTTTCCTCCAAGCCTCACTTTCTCATCTGTACAATGGTGATAAGTTAGTGCCCACCTCAGAGGTTATGGTGAGGAGTGACGTAATCATGCATCAATAAACATAAGCTCTTACAATGAGAAAGCAAAGAGACGTCCAAAGCTTACATCTACAGAGGGCAGATGCATCTCTGACAGAAAAGATCGATGGGATCCCCCACCTGCCACCCTTCTCAGAGGAGAAAGCAAATCTTGTTGCCCTAAAGTCCAAGTTTTCATTATCCCCCAATATGGCATGGGGGAGTTCCTGTGACTGGTGTCCTGGAAGTCTGAAAAATGTTAGGTAGCATCACTTTGTTCCAAGAAAACTAACAGGATGGTACTAAACCACCCAAATCTGGCCAATGAAAACTCAAAACAGAGGCTATTTTAAGGCATAAGGAAAACAGATCTGACTTACATCAGAAAGGAACAAATTGTTCAGTTTTTATGGATTCCAGACAGCATCAAATCTTCTTTATGTTCATGAATGGACAATAATTACCCAAGCTTTTACCACTGGCTTCAAAACATATACCTTTAGCTTATTATTGGCTTTCAGGGCACAAATCAGAATGAAATCTAAATCGACCAACCCTGGAGCAAATAAAGCTCTTCTGTTTACAGAGCAGCAGTATTCCTGGGAAATTTCTTGTCAAAACAAATCATATACGGACATTTATTGGAACCCATGATAGGTCCTTTGGTAAAGTGATATTTTGAAAATGGATAACTGCTTAGTAATTGATATTTATTTAGTGTATACTTTTAAAGCTTTTTATTTACTCAAAGTAGGAGTATGTCTTAAATATACATGTTATAGATACAATTAATTCTTATATAAACACTCAAAGTAATTCAAGCCCTATCAAAATACACGGTACAATAAAAAGTCAAGATAAGCCCCATAGACATGGAATAGATAAGGCATCACCTATCCTCTGCCAGCCCCTCCCAACCCCAAAATACATAGTCACAGTCCCTCGGACTTTCTTCTTTAAGATTTTATTTATTTATTTGAGAGAGAGAAAGCCAGAGACAGAGCACAAGCAGAGAGGGAGGGGCAGAAGGAGAGGGACAAGCGTGGAGCAGGGAGCCCGATGCGGGGCTGGATCCCAGGACCCCGGGACCATGACCTGAGCCGAAGGCAGACGCTTAACCCACAGAGCCACCCAGGCGCCCCTCTTGAAATCTTGAAGACACTCAGTGGGAGCGCTCCCTTCCATGTGAACCTGATAACCTTCCGACCTGCGCAGTGGCCTTTCCCTTTAGAATCACAGAACATCAGTATGGGAGGGGTCACCAGAACTCCTCTAGTGGGACTCCCCTCCCATTTTACCATTTATTCACACCATACTCATTACACAAGGGATTAGAGATGCAGTGTAAAAAAAAAAATATGTGCCATAAAATATTAAACATGGAAAATAATAAAACGCTAAGATCAGAGAAAACAAAAGTTAGAACAGAGGGTCAAACCAAGGAAGGAAAATGACATCAAGATATCAAGCCCAGGATCCTGCAGAGTTCCTCAAATAAAGCTTTGAATTTGACTTGGGTTTCCTGGCTGCCGAAAGGGAGAGGAAAACAGGCTGGTGAGATTGATTCTTGCCTCTCAGGTGGAAGCACAAAGAGACTCTCACTTTTCAGGAGAGGAAACAGTCCCAGGGAGTTAAAGGAACTCTCTGGGTGGCGCAGAGCTAAGACAAAAACAGCATTCCCCTTATTCCCAGGCTAGAGCCAACCCTTGTGTCGCTGAACTTCAAATATGTAAGTATAGGACTCTAATCACAGCAGCTTTGCCAAGTTGCTTGTGAATTCTTTGTTCTTTAAATTTAAGTATCAGCAAAAAGCTGGGAATTGGCAAACTCAGAAAGCCCTGCCCCTCTGGAGCCAACGCTGGCCCAGCTGTGAGCTTCCCTGTAAGAACTCCCTCCTCAGTCCTATTTTCTCTCTCAAACAGGGGCTTTGCCAGAGCACCTACCCCACTGGGAGATGAGACACAAATCATGGTAAAAAACAAACAAACAAAACAAAACAAAAACAGACAAACAAAAAACCTTATCAAAATTCTTTCCTGGGATGCCTGCTGGCTCAGTCTGCTGAGCACGGGACTCTGGATCTCAGGGTTGTGAGTTCAAGCCCCACGTTGTGGGTAGAGATTACTAAAACTAACATTTTTTTTAATTTTTTATTGTTATGTTAATCACCATACATTACATCATTAGTTTTTGATGTACTGTTCCATGATTCATTGTTTGTGCATAACACCCAGTGCTCCACGCAGAACGTGCCCTCTTTAATACCCATCACCAGGCTAACCCATCCCCCCACCCCCTCCCCTCTAGAACCCTCAGTTTGTTTTTCAGAGTCCATCGTCTCTCATGGTTCGTCTCCCCCTCCGACTTACTCCCCTTCATTCTTCCTCTCCTGCTATCTTCTTCTTTTTTCTTAACATATATCGCGTTATTTGTTTCAGAGGTGCAGATCTGTGATTCAACAGTCTTGCACAATTCACAGCGCTCACCATAGCACATACCCTCCCCAATGTCTATCACCCAGCCACCCCATCCCTCCCACCCCTCACCACTCCAGCAACCCTCAGTTTGTAAAACTAACATTTTTTCAAAATTCTCTCCTTCCTGTTCTATTCCATTGATAACGTCTTCAGGCAACTTTACTAATAAATAGTTCTCCTGTGTTCTCAGTTTAAACTCAGTCGCTTGCTTACAGCCAACTAGCTCCTCTGACAGATTTTAGGATAAATAGTAAAATAAGACAGTAGGATTCCCACCCCCGAACATGAAAAAGCCCGGATGGAAGAGGCCCTTGTCTTCTTCGAGGGCCTCTCGGGCTCCCCCAGGTGGACCCAAGAGAGGTTCGCGGGAGAGAGCCCCGTGGAAGATGCGCGTCGGGCTCCCCCTTGTGGCCGTTGGTGGTGAGGCGCCCTGGCCGTGGCTCCCCCAGGAGGTTCACCAAGGAAGGAGGTAAGAGAAATCTGTAGGGTTTTGGGGAGAGAAGTAAGATCATAAAGAGAAGCAAATCCCAGACTTCCTCACACGAGGCATTCTAAAAAGCTTCCATCTACAGTCTTGGGTAGTGAAGCTTGGGATCAGCTTCACTAACTGTGCTTAACCTTGAGAGGTCCCTGCCCTGCACCCTGCCATTGCCTCCAAGGACAGACAGCCCGGTGGCTTGCAGAGGTTCTGGCTGTCCTTGCTGGAGAACAAAGAAAGCCGTTTTTCTTCATGGAAACGGTTCCTAAGAAGCAGAATCCACCCCCAACCCCCAAAGGACACAAAACCACCTGCCAATAAATGAGCAAGGAAGGCCCTTCTCCAGAAGCAGCTGAAAAGTACTCAACTCCAGGGCAAAAATCCTGAGTCCATAAAAGTAAGAGAGGGTTCTCAAGATTTCAAATTTCAGGTTCCTGTTACACCGAAGTGCAGCTGAGGTTGAACTAATGAGAATGAACTGATTCCCTGCAAAATTAACCAACTGTATAGAAACAAACTTGGAGTACATATAAAAACCATTTCTCCTCTGGAACGAAGCCCCTCAGACGTAGGGTCTGGGATGAACACGCCCCTCCTGCTGCTCATCAGTTATGACCTAGAGTCCCCTATGAAGATTCAGAATGCAATTTGTCAACCTTTAGGGCTTAAAGGACCAAACTGAAAATTCTATGCTGGAATCCTTTTAATGGACTTACTTCTTTTGTCAACATATATGTGTATAGTAGTAGAGGGGGAAGCTAGTAGGCCAACGCTTGACAAGTCAAATACCTTTAAAGTGATGGATGATGGATGAAAATATAAATGGATGTTTTTAATTTCCCCTAAAGGGTAAGATGACTTCTTACTCGTAAAAGCT